TTTAGCTAAGCAACACGAGCACCCTATAACGAACCCTAAACAACTGTACGACTGGGCAAATAGTCGTAAAGAAGATCTTCAAACAAAAATGTCATTTTGTTATGTTTCTACGGAAGAATACAAAAAGGCTGACACGGAATTTGATCCAATTTTTAAGAAAGTGAAACCAATTCCTGGAACTCGAAAATATCATTGCTATATTCCAGTTTCAAACAACCAAATTGCAGTAAAAATATTCTCTAATTCAAACGATACACCCAAATTATTCAATGTATTCAAATAATATGAGTTGTAAAATAAAATAATAAATATATACTGTTTCTTATCTCAACAAATCTTTCATTTGACCACATCAACGTGCTTCTCTTCCGCTGCCTCTAGATAGAAACGGGTAAGTCTGACAGCTACCATATCTGAGAATTATTCGGAGGCGAACCAGCCTAAGGCTGAAAGCCTCCTAAATAAAGCTAAATTAATTAATTAATATCTGAGAATGAATTGTTTGGTTTTTAATATACAATCATGAAATAAAATCTCGTTGCTGGACATCTCGACGAACATTTGAAAATGGCCTAATATGTTGAAAATTGTTATAATTATATATTTTTAATTCGCATTAACTTGTGAACGGCTGGACTTAGGAAAAAAATTTATATATGCAAAGTTATTGAAAATTATGCGTAAAATCCAAATAAATTATTATTTTATAAAAAAATATGCATTTTCATCAACTTGTAAAAATCAACAAAAATTTAAAAACTTATAGCTTTCTTTTTAAGAAAGTTACCAGCATACACTTTTCATGAAATTTAAGGGTATTCCATCAATTTTCTTGAAAAAAAAAATTATAAAGATCGAAGGGGGGGTGTTTTGAGATAATCATCGTTGTACGTTTTTTAAATACTAATTTACGAAGTTTTTTCTTTCAGTGTATTTTTTCCGCAAAGATAATTTAATTACCTAAAACTTCTTCTCATATGCCGTTTTGATCAGATCAATAGTTTTCAAGTTATGATTTTTTGGAGAAAAAAATAATCAATTTTTTTATACGCCCTTTTCAAAAGTTACTCTGGAGGAAAAAATCATATTTAAATGAAAAATGCAACCATTAGTAGCAGCGAACACGTGAGCAATGTTTCATTCAAATCAGAAGGGGTCGAGACAAAATTGACATTTTTTTTAACGATTTGAGCTAGAAATGCTCTGTAACGAAAAAAATGTCTGTGAAAAAAATAAAAGTCTGTAAATTCACAGACATGTTTGTAAATCTGGCATCTCTGATTGTACTATACATTTGGAAAGCGTAATATATTAGATATTAAATTATAGGAAACATTTAGTTTATCGACTTTTGTCTATAGCTTACCGCACTGTGTGGCACATAAAATCGGTACTTGAAATCATGAGACGACGATGTCTTTTATCACTCGCTGTGCTGCAGCATCACGTTGTTTGCTCCCGCTACTTAAATTAGCAACATCCTTATCTGATGTTATGACACTGTGTTGCCTTTCAGATAAAAGATGTTACCCGTGGTGCGTGACTATGATAAATTCAATTGATATTAATACAGCCGATGTACAAGTAGGGTGGGTGAGCCAGTAGTGGAGGTACTAAGCCAATTTATTAATTAAAAAACTAATATACGATGTACACACAATTGTTATACGTCAATCTATAGCTTTCAACCTCTTTTTTGATAGAAAAATATTACATTGTAATAAAATTGCATACAATTTTAGAAAACTCACTGAAACACTGTTCCAGTAGTTGTGGTAGTTGCTAACTTTGGTTCCTATAATAATTGAATGCGTTGGTTTCTTATGGGTTCCACTATTATAGGAACACTACCCCAACTATAGGTGCAAAGGAGTGAAAATCTTAAGGAAAATTAATTATTTTCCGTCTATTTCGGGTATATTTTATATTTGAAATATGCAAACATGCTTTATTTTAGGAGAGCTACCGATGAAAAATAATCTTATCCGGGTCCTCCTCACTATTTCGGCACAACCTTCATACCGCAACTATAGGTACACCACTATTATTGGAACACCTACCCTAGTTATAAAAGCAATTCTCGCTATAAAGTTTTTACCTCTTTAATACCAGTTCAGCATTGCTGCGAAAATGCTTTCGAATGATGAAGTTCCCTTAGGTTTTATAGTTTTTATGCAATATAATGTATTTAATATAACTTTTCCTAATGTACACACCAAAACATTCTGATTTTTACTGGCGATGTAAACATCCATGCATGCAAACATTCATACATGTAAACTACCTTTTCACGTAAACTAACAACTTGAAAGAAATGTTGCAAACAAAAGTGGACAGTTGCATACAATATATGGGATATTACATGACATGTCTCATAAATTTACACGATCTATAATCTAAACTTGTATGATATATGACGCTCCATTTATGTGCATCATAGTAACGGAAATTTACACTACTTTTTTTTAGATGTGTAGTACATAACTTAGACTGACTAAACATATCAATAGTTGTTATTCCGTTATTGATCAGAATCAGTAAAGTTACACAATTAATAAACTCCATGGTGCTGGGAGTGACCGCCCATTCTCACTGTACAAGTTTCCTTAACTCCAAAAATCAAAGATCAATAACGGCGCCAGCCACGTTCAGACAGGTGGGAGTGGGGAAGAAATATTAGAGTGACCTTGTTGTGGGGATCGTGTTTACCTCTGTGTCACCACAAAGCATTCTTGTTGATAAGTAATGTGAGCATAGTTTTGATAGAATGTATTGTTTCTCGATATTCACTCGAATAAAATTTGCGAAGGCTCGATAAGCAAATGATGCGGTTCTATTGTATTGTCCAACCTAGTGATGTATAAAGTCCTGGGATAAAATCCACGATCATCTGTTTAGTTAGCAAAAAACGGTCGCCACTAGGCTACAAAACCCCTTACAAAAAAAGACTATTACAAACGACGATCGTTCAACCCCGGTGACGTGGAGCTATTAAAATGGAATGATGTCTATGGCAGTACTAAACTATGATTTCAATCGTGGATAAAGCATATGTTATATTTTACCGAGATCGAGTACTGTCCGTCATAGGCGTAGCCAGAGGGGGGTAGGGTGGTGGGGGGTGGTGTGGTTGCAGTTGCTAACTCAGTAACACAAAGGCTTTCGGGGAAATGACGTTCGGTGAAATGGCATTCGGCCAAATTTTCCATAGTAATTTTAGACCCATAGGCCAACATTAGAGCCATTACCCATATCATTATTCTTTTAAATAGTCTCTACCGAATTCCATCATGATTTAAAAGCTGTTTTTCACAATTCACCAGGCGCAACCCGACCAAGCTCCTGAAAATAACGCCACATCATCGCTCATTGATGCTTCAATAACGCCACATTGGTGTGCTTGGCGCGGAGAATAGGGAAAAAATCCAGGCTACTGAGGCTACTATGTCTTAAGTGCAAGATGCAGTGTTACCCTGAAAGCAGTCGATTAATCATATCAGAAAGATATTGGCTTTGAAGTCAACTTATAACTAATTACCTTGAAGTCTAACCAAAAAATAGATTTCAGAATAATTTTACATAAGAACAGATATTATGCTTTCCCGTAAATAATTAAAATAAAGGCCAATATACTGTATTAACAATATAGTCAACCGGTGGATAACGATTTTAATTTGGATCACTACTTGACTAGCCCAACGCTCACAAGTACATCGATTAACGTACCCCATTCTAGTCGAAATTCTTGTACTACACTTTGTTTGTTTTGATTATCTATGAAAGATTGACAGATAAAATGAGGGGTTCGTGGATTTTCCTATGTTTCGAGGGGTGAATCGATTAGCTTGGGACCGAAGATAGTACCAGAGCTGAGCCAAAAATTTGAGCTCGTTTCTTAGGGACCTGCTAGTCTTAGAGTTACCTCTACGATATAGTTCCCTATTTTGTTTTTTGGAGACACAATTTTTGACAAAAAAGCGCGCCTTTGCATCAGTAATGGCAGCAATTGTATTCTATAAACATTACGAAGGATTATCATGTATATTACTTGCAACTCACTCACTCCTCGACTTTAATCAAATGCATGTTGGTTGCCTTTCTCATAGTGGGTATGGTAATGTAGCTTTGTCAATGAAAGGAAAAATGAGGTTTTAGAGCAAATTGTAAACATACTAGGTCGCTATCCATACAAAAATCCAACATGGCCGAATCATGAATTTGATACATTAGAACATCTATATGTACTCACCATGCTTTTTCTAACATTAGGTGATGTGTCGAACAGAAAATTTATGTCTCCTAACATCTAAGAGTGAACTATATTGTTAATGTAGTATATTTGGAGGAGATTAGAACAAAAAGTTCACTTTTCCAATAGTTATTTACATATAAGCTTCAAAGTGCCAGTGCAGTATGAGTTCGCATTCAAATAAACTCATATTTTGGGAGAATGATTAGGTGCTAATTTTGAATCGAATGAGCTTGGTGGAGCAAAATCCATAATTTACATAAATTTTCTTCGTTTGGCTTTGATGCACATGAATGGAGCGTCTTATATCATACAAGTTTAAATTTTAGAACGTGTAAAGTTATGAGACATTTCGTGAAATATTCCAAATATTGTCCAGTTTTATATTCAGCATTTTTTGCAAGTTGCTAGTTTACGTAAAAAGGAAGCTATAATAAAAATAACCATAAGAAAGAGCTTAACAACGTGTTCGGGGTATGCATATCATTTATGGGATAGTTCTACCATCTGGGTTACCGTTCGTTTATGGTATTTGTTTATTACGGAGTTTACATGCATGAATATTTCCGTGCATGGATATTTAAACCACCAAAAAAATTCAGAATTTTTCTCTGTGTGCTACTTTATAAGTCTGACATAGCAAAATATGAAATTGAATAATAAAATTAAATAATCGAATGCTAAGTGTACCACAATGTCCATGATTTATAGTTAATCACCAAATCCATCTTTGAAGTTTGAATATACTTACTTCTCATCTGGTGGTGGAGGCATGTCGTGGGCGCTGGGACTTCTTGGTGGCGTCTTTTCAACCTCCATCATTGCTAACGGAGCCTCTGGCATTGGGCTCACAGTTGCACCATCCATTTTGAGCTTTATTTTGGCGACTTTTGATATACACACTATTCACGCGAAGTAATGTTCAATGTTCACTGTCTGTCCCGATAAGCTTTGTTCTTGACACTTTTTTTTATCAGATGATTGCTTGTCACTGCACTAGGTGTTTCATATGGGAATTCTGCTTTAAGATTAAGTCACGGAATACTCTTATTCACTATCAAGCTGAGGAAGATGTAGGTTGCCGCAAACCATGTGATTAGGGCTATGCTACCAATTTTCGGTCTATGCCGATGACTCTACGATTGAAACATGAATATATTTTTGATTTTTCTATGTATTCGATATTATGAAATCTCTTCAGTCTGTGTATTGTGCATTCAAAAATCGATAGGCCTACCAAGGGGCAAGACAACTTTGATAACGGCAATATTTAAGTATTTGCAAAAATAAATACATACATGTAAAGATAGAGCGTTTTGTGTTGAACAAGTTTTGTTCTACGGATTACTTTATTAATAAGTCTAAGTAAAAAAAATATTAAAAAAATATGTTCATATAATCAGTCAAGGTGCCCAGCCCTCTGAGACCAACGCACAATACATCCGAACCCGAACAATCATAAAATAAATCACATAGCCCGTGGAAAATATCCATGTGAATTTCATATAATTTTCATGTGATCCCATAATTGGAAATTGCACCACTAAATAACATGAACCTTATGTGTCCAATGAAATCTATATGATTATTCACATAGCATTTATTATGCTATGTGATATTCAGATAAAAATCATTAAATTTGTTTTTTGGAAAAATATTACGTGCGTTCCTAAGGGAAACAATATGAAAACTTTTTTCAGCGAAATGTTACAGAAAAATTACAGTTAAGTCAACCTCCTTTTTTTCCTTGATTTGTTTTCCGTCGGTCTTGTTTTCCGTGCTGAGCACCAATGCACCGACGCACTATGGGGATTGAGGTGGCCAATAAGAAGAAGACCGGATTCTGTAATCTGTTATCGAAAGAAGACTATTTGATGCATAAAATCCCACAAAAAGAATTCTCAAAACCGACTCTATTACTGTGGAAAAGGTAATACAGTTGGTTACCCGCCATTTTTGTGAATATATTTAAAACTTAATTTCTCTAAACTGAAACAACCTAGTGCTTAGGAATAAGATGTAGCTGAAAGCTTAAATGTTAAGCTTTCAAATGGTATGTATTATTTATTATAATAAATTAGAAAAAGCATGCAATATAGACCCACAAAAAAAAAAGTTTTTTTTCAGCTTAAATGTTCATTGCCAAAAAATTTTTTTAATTGTTTACAGTCGGGACAACATCCACGATTATCTTTAGAGTACCTAGAATGACTTGCAAAAAAAAATTAGCTGCGCAAATGAACTTATGACTATATTGAATATATTTGACTTAACAATTATAATTAGTGATAAATCAGATATTTGGCAGCTTGATCTCGGGCAAACATAAGGTCTGTTCACGTACCTTTTTTTTCTGCTGTTGCTATAAGATACTGTAAAATAGCCTGGGAAAACCAAGATTAGTAAGTCCAAAATGTTTTTAACTTACTTTATTAGGTTTTACCAGATTCTTATTTTACTGCAACATACAGCGGAAGCGCTAAAGCATGTGCGGAAACAAACCTATTATTTACTTAAATTTACGGCCAAGTTGATACACAATGATGTTGTACCACAGTTGAAAAGATCAGTTATAATAGAGCGCTTTCCCGGCGCATGTTAGTAATTTAGCTTCCTGTACCAAAAACAACATTATTCTTTCAACTCGGTTCTGCCGTCAATATCGAGATAGGTAGAATCTGTATTATTATGTTCAAAACCAGAATTGGTATTATGATTCATACAGTGAAATACTATTCCACACGTCTTAGGTATCGATAGAAATTCACCGTACGTACCTACATGCATATAAAACATGAAGTGATTCATATGAAGCATGTTAGTGTGAGGAGTGATTTTTCAAAGATTATATGGAGAACCGAAAAATTATTAGTATTCTGAGAGCCCCAGGGCAGCAAACTCAGAGAATTGAAAAGGCATTTGAGTACATCTGCGAAAACTTCCGAGTGAAAAAAAAAACAAATAACTGCAGCTGAAGCAAAAATTAAAAAAAAATATTGGCTTAAAATTCTGACATCTATGGGAAAAGGCTAACATACACAATGAGCGTTTTGAGTTTGTTAATAAGGATTTTCTTGACGTGCAGTTTAACATGGAAATATTCGTGGAAATCGAACCAGAACCTTCAACTTCATCGGGACGTGGACGACGATCAAAACAATTCGATGTATCAAGCAAGCGTAGTAAACAGCGGAAAATGAACGACGAATTGATCGATCCAAAAGTGGATTCGATAGAAAAAGCACTTTTGGTAGCAAGAAGAACATGGAATTTCACCTTTGCATGCGTGGATGCGTTTTTTCGAATGTGTATTACACATATCATACAGAGTGGACTTCAAAAATATATTATATAACAAAAGCTTTTAAAGAAGAGTACAAAAAATGAAAAACAACATTCAGAATAGACTGTATGAAGCGTTTGGTGTCAGGGTGGATCAACCAAGAGCGGGTGGAGCAGGAATCAGCACAACTGGAAACGTTTGCCGACGAACATTCTCAAATCCTCAATTGCTGAGTAGCGTTTTGGATATCAACGTGGAACTTATAGAAAGATTTCAAAACATTTTGATTGCAATAAATTGCCAAGAACCGATCAACCCCGAAATACTAGACACATATTGCAAAGAAACGTATCGTCTATATCTACAATTATATAGTTGGTATAAAATTCCAGCTACAGTGCATAAAGTACTCGCTCATGCAGGAGATATAGTGATCCATTCTCCAGCACCACTTGGAATACTAGCCGAAGAAGCAGCCAAATGCCAGCACAAACACTTGAAAAAAAAAAGTCGAACCCATCATGCTAGGAAAAGATCAAGAGTGGAAAATTTACATGATGTTTTCATAAGAGCCATGAATGCCTCTGATCCTTTCGTAAGCTCGCTTTATTTTAGTAATCGAGTACATAAAAAATCAATTCATGAATATCCCGCAGTTGTACAGCCATTTCTTGTATTTAAGAATAATAACATTTCAACAGAAACAACTTCAGAGTGAACAGCATTAGAAGAATTATTATTGAGTGACGTTGATGAAATTGACGATGACTTTGTTGAAGATGCAAATGTAGAAAATGTGTGAATAAATATAAAAGCTAACAAAAAATTAAAACTTTATGTTTTCGCACACTTACCCAACCACTTTACCAAGAAAAAAAAAGAGCTTTTCAAAAGAGATGAATGCTTCCGTAAAATTTCAGAAGACTATCAAAGATTCGATTGTGATTGCTTAACATTAAAACAATGATAATCAATTAAAAAATATTGGGGATCTTTTTCAAAGATAGTCAAGATATTTACCCCAATTCAACGTATCGCATCGTCTCTCTTTAGCTTACGAGACAATAAAAGTCACTTTGTGAGATGACTCTCCATGTAAATCAAATGTAGAGTCTTCTCACAAGGCGTGACTTTCATTGCCTCGCAAATGACAGAAGGTCAACCCGATGTACAGAATAGGAGTGATTGCTTAAGGCCTTGACCTTGACTTGTAAAGTTGGTCCAGAATAGTGAGAAGGGCACCGAATACCATTCTGTGATTTACATATAACCAGAACTTCTTGAACTCATAAAGATTTCCGGGACATTGTTTACGACATAATTTAACCTTACTCAATGACCATAACTCCAGAATAGTTTGGCAGCAATTAGTATTTGATCACTTATACTCTACGGGGCTGTCCTTTTTTTATGATTTTGAACCTCTTTCCACAACGTGGTCAAACGTCCATACAAATTTCTGAAAATTTGTATGGATCGTGGTCTTTCGTCCCCTCCCCCTAAATTGACTACGTGGTTTTTGCATGACCCCTAAGATGCATATTGCGGTATACCCCGTACAGACTATGGCTTATATCATGTAATATAGGCTGTCTTGCAATGAGCACTTATACATCTAGTTTTCACTGAAAATCTCATGTATGAGTGCTCATTGCAAGACAGCCTATATTACATGATATAAGCCGTAATCTATCCGGGGTATTAAACATCATTAGTAGGGACCTGATGGCATGTCAAATACGTCGAAAATTTACGAGTTAAACCACATTGATTCAAGAGGACATCTAGATCTCAACTTGAGGAAATTTTGTAGACCTAAATATATTACATGACTTCAAAAACATCTTGAAGCTAACAATTTCCATACTATCATAAATCAAGAGAAAAATGCATAAAAAGAACGAAAATATTTTTGGCCGCCTTCTTGTATGGAGATTCCCCACTGTGCGACGCCAGAGAGGCAGCTCCCACACCTGGACCCTACCTATCGACCCATCAACTCATGAACCGGGGACCAACGGCTTTACTTCCCTTCCGAAAGAAGGCGTGATCAGAGTTGTTATTAATCAGAACATCCCGGTGTTACGATGTGCCTAGCCTACCCAGTTGACCGATTTTCGCATTCGATCTAAAAAAAATGACCTACAAACCTGCTGCTACTTATTTATTCAATTCTTTTCTACAGTGATTCAACAATTTCCGAGCTAAATCAAATATTTTCAAAATTGGTTTAAAATTTTTAGTAGTGAGATAAAATCAGAACCGATTCAGGAAATTCCTAATTGAGGTGATATTTTTCAAAGCAGATTCAAGACTCAGTCGAATAAGTCATCAACATTTTTCTAACTAAGTGTAAACCTTTCTGTTATGTTATTCAATCCTTTATTGTTGTCAAAGCTTCCCTGAAGTGAACCAACATATCCCGAACCTAAGCTTTAAAGAATCGGTTTCGCATTTTCTTGCCGTTGGTCCCCGGTTCATTCATATTTTCATAGAAACTTTGATTTTCTGTTCTGCCAATTTGAATTTCTGCTCCAATATTTAAAAAATAATTTCGATTTTATAGAAAGGACCTTGCTGAGGGTTGATTTTTTGAATTTTTGTGAGAACCGAGTTTAAATTAAAAACAAATCGTATTTTGATGAAAGTTCGGGTTTCCTGTTCAGCCAAGTTGGATTTTGGCTCCGTCCTTTGAAAAATAGGATTAGATTTTATAGGTTGGACCTTGCTGAATCCATACGTGATGGTACATTTTTTGAAGCATGCATTTTTGAAAATA